CTGAGAAACTCTGAGACGGGCCGCTTCTGGAGATTCACACTGTAAACGGAGTGTGTTATATTAATGACCGGAGGTTTTGAACGAACACTGCTTGTGTGTGTGTGGAGAGGAAACGCTTTCGGCCGTCGCAGAGTCTCTAGAGCTCACACTGGGAAACTGTATTAACTTAGTGTGTATTTGTGTCTCGCTTCCCAGTACAAACTCCATAGTCAAGATACATTCACTGGAGAAGATTTAATAAAAATAATGATAAATAAAACAAGAACACAATCTGATGGTCAGAATTATGATTTTAAAGTTTATTTTTCTGACCTCCACAAAACTAATTTTTACTGAATATTTGAAGTAATTTCGCTTCTCCAAGTAAATGTCTCTCGATTAGAAAATATGTCGATATTTGCACTGGAAAACAAGACCGAAATACGGAGCAAGAAAACATATTTCACAGTGTTAAAAACATCACGAACATTTGGGAACGCTCATCGATAAAGCTCAGCTCTTTTTCTTTACAAAAATATGGTTATCTCCCCACAAAGTCATTATTCTGGTTACTAATGAACAACACAAACACAAATGTTATTGCACAAATACATTATCTTCCAATTACTGAAAATAACCACAATAATATCAAAAATAAAATCACTGTTGATCTACTTGGTCGATCACATGTATAAGATTGTTAATAAATATGATTCTCAGAACAACATGAAATGAAATGGACCACCGCGACATAATCTATAAATGAGATGAAAATGCATGAAATAAAACAGAAGCGATTATGATTTGCTCGTTTGGTCCGTTCAGAGGAAGAGCTTCTGCACTTGAGTGTGTGTAAAGGAGTGTATCTGACGGTATTAGTCGTTTCAGAGATGATTCTCACACACACACACATCTCGTTTCCACAAACTTCAGAGTTTTGCAGTGTTGTGTCACACAACAGGAGCCAAAAACCAACACACAAAACAACAAATAAATGACAAATGGAAGAAAATATTTAAGTTAACATGATATTTTAAATATATTAAAATCTGTAAATCTACATGAATCAACACAAACGTAAGGGAACAGATTAAAGCTCATTGGTCAATCTGTCTATTCGGTTGAAATTAAAACGATCAGCTAATGAGATGAAACATTTACAGCACACTCGCACATGTGACGTTTTGTTCTGTTCGGCTGTTGTTCGTAGAAATGCAGGAATCGCTTTTGCGGTCGAATCTCACAAAAACCGTCAAGTCTCACATTAAAAGAGATATTATACTAAAACTTTATGCATTATAATGGAATGCTACGATGCATTTAGCATGAATAATTGAAACCAAAGTTCAAATGCATGATGTTTTCAGATTGCTCCGTCTGCAACTGGTTGTTTGTCGTTTTAATGCATTAGAAAGGCGCGTTCAATTCATAAATAAGCATCACCATGGTTACAATTATTGGCATAATTAATGCATTAAAATACGCATTGTAAAGGCTTTAAGTGCATTACATTTTGTGTAAAGAAATTTTATCTGTACATTTAGGACCATTAAGATTTTTTTGCATTCAAAATAATATTGACAGCATTTTTTGCATAAGCATTTGTTATTTTTGATGCACTATTTGTATTCTTTATTATCCTCAATGATTTCCAAGAAAAAAAAATCTATAGAAAATATATATACTTTTATAGAAAAAAAATCACAAAAAATGATGATTTTCATGTAAATTCTCTTTACAAAACGGTGTTATCGTTTTGAGATATAAATGTGTACACTCTAAACAATGCTGGGGTTTTTTAACCTAAAATTTGGGTCAAATATGGGCAAATCCAAATGTTGGGTTAAAAATGTAATTTAAAATCTTCCACTTTCACTTTCAACTGTACATGTATTAATTACATTTTTAACCCAATATTTGGGTTAGTCCATATTTGACCCAAATTTGGGTTGAAACAACCCAGCATTGTTTAGAGTGTAATTGCAAGAAAGTCCAAATTTTGAGATAAAAATGCCCAATTGCAAGAAAAAAAGTCAGAATTATAATTATGTACTTTTTAATGTTTTGTTATGATCATTGGTGATTCTCATTTAAATTCTCATTAAAAACTGTTATTGTTTATAGTACGGATTTTGAGATATAAATGGGCAATTGCAAGAAAAAATTAATAATTATAATTATAATTTTATCATGAAAGGTGATTCTCATTTAAATTCTCATTACAAAAAACAACAACAAAAAAAGAAAGTACATAAAAAACGTACAACCAAAGCTAGAGTGTAAATGAGGCACAAAATAAATACGTATTAAAAATGCTGGGTTGTTTTAACCCAACTTTGGGTCAAATATGGGCAAACCCAAATATTGGGTTAAAAATGTAATTAAAAAATGTAACCCAATAGCTGGGTTTGTCCATATTGACCCAAAGTTGGGTTAAAACAACCCAGCAATTTTTAGGGTGTGAGAATATAAATAAAGAATTACAAAAAAACAAACAAACAAAAAAGATTGAAAATCTAAAAAATCTTAATGGTCAATTGCCGAACAAATTCATATTTGGTTATAAATATGAGTTGATCTTGACAGGTTTTGTGAAATTCATTATCAGTCATCACAGACATTTGTAAAAACTTAAAATGTGCTGGCAAAGTTTGACGGACAGAGAGAAAGAGGAAGACGAGACGTGTTTTCCATGTTCAGTTAAGTGCTAAACTGATCTGGAAGAACATTACATTCTCCGGGATCAACGGGAAGGATGAAAAAAATATCTAAAATTAGTGGTTATTGCAAAGCACATATCTTGAAAAACTCTCACTGTTAGTTTGTATGAATAACAATATAGTCAGTTGAAATGTTCTCGTTGTGTTTAACCGTCCTTTTAGTGCGAAACATCGAAGAGATAAATGTTGCCGGATCTTTCAGAAAGGCACATTAGTGTTCAGGCTACGTCACTTCCAGAACAGAAACCCATAAAAGTGCGCATTACATACGAGTATCAACCCTGAATGAGTTGATACGGGTTTGCTGTTAGTCTGGGGCTGACCACACACACACACACACACACACACACACACACACACATCAATGCTTTGGCTTGAAACAGCAACTAAATCTGCTTTCGGAGAGGAACAAAGGCCGACAGCAAAAAGAAATCACTCCCACTCCAACTCATTCTCTCCATCACTCTTTTCTCTGTGTTTCGCCTACACCGCTCACACACACTCGTTATATATATAGAGAGAGAGAGAGTGAGATGAATTAATGCCCACAGACGACAGGTGAACCGTTCAGATCTTATGCATCACAATTTTTGGTAACACTTTAGAATAGGTTTCATTTCCTGACATTAGTTAATGAACTAACATGAACACTGTGTATTAACTCACATTAATGAGAATACACTGCTCGGTGTTAGTGTTAAAGGGATAGTTCACCTAAAAATGACAATTAGCCCATGATTTACTCACCCTGAAGTCACCCTAAGTGTGCATGACTTTCTTCTTTCAGACGAACACAATCAGAGTTATATTAGAAAATGTCCAGGCTCTTCAAAGCTTTATAATGGCCGTGAATGCAGATTCTGTATTTTTGTCCATAAATTAAACTTTTATCATGGAGAGATGCACTTTTATGATGGATAGATGCACTTTTATGATGATAGATGCACTTTTATGATGGATAGATGCACTTTTATGATGGACAGATGCACTTTTATGATGATAGATGCACTTTTATGATGGATAGATGGCCTTTTATGATGATAGATGCACTTTTATGATGGACAGATGCACTTTTATGATGGACAGATGCACTTTTATGATGATAGATGCACTTTTATCATGGAGAGATGCACTTTTATGATGGACAGATGCACTTTTATGATGTATAGATGGCCTTTTATGATGGATAGATTCACTTTTATGATGGACAGATGCACTTTTATGATGATAGATGCACTTTTATGATGTATAGATGGCCTTTTATGATGGATAGATTCACTTTTATGGACTTCAAAACAGAATCAGAATTCACTGCCATTATAAGTCTTGAAAGAGCCAGGACGTTTATCATCATAACTGATTGTGTTCGTCTGAAAGAAGAAAGTCATACACACCAATGATGACTACTGGGTGAGTAAATCATGGGCTAATTAAAATTTTTGGGTGAACTATCCCTTTAAAAACCTTATTGTAACGTGTTATCTCAAGTGAAAAGAGTGCCTGAAAGGTAACATAAGGATCTGTCTCACATATAAACACACATACTGTACAAGCACACATACACAAGTCTAGATGCTCCCTGATTCTCCAACACTAGAGCAGGAAGTAAAGACAGGAAGACCTGAAAGCGAGCGGAGAATGGGGTGTTTTTTTGGATGCGTCTCTGAACAGTCACTGGGACTTGTCGTCGGAGTCGGAGGTGTTTGGTTGGTGTTCTCTGGGAAGAGTGATGGTGGTGTGACGGTCCCACAGTTTGTGAAGTTCAGTGGCTTCGCTCTCGCTGCTCGTGCCGCTCGTCCCGCTGTCTCTGAAACTGGCCAGCGGGGGGCGCACTTTCACTCCCTTCACCGTCATGGAGCCCTCGATGGCTTTACGCAGCTACGACACAAACCAGAGCTGGTTAACAACTCGTCAGAAGTGTTATACGTTTAGTTGTGTTAGTATTATTTATTCATGTACAGAGCACCGCACATGACATGCGGACAAAAAATATGTATATCGTGGCTACAAATTAACAATTAATTTCTATCACTTACCAATACATCAGCACGTTTGAATGATTTGTTAAGTAAACTGTGCGCAAAAATTCATAAATCTAGGGAACGAATTATGGTATCAGGTGCACAATGTAATTTATTCCATAATTTTACTAATCCATGCGCAAACTATAATAATTTTTTTCCTCGTTTTACGAAATTGTGCGCACAATATAATAATTCTTTCCCTCTTTTTACGAAATCGTGCGCACAGTATAATAATTTGTTCCCTTGTTTTACGAAATTGTGCGCACAATTTAATAATTTGTTCCTTAGTTTTACTAAATCATGCGCACAATATAGTAATTCGTTCCTTAGTTTTACGAAATCGTGCGCACAATATAATAATTCGTTCCTTAGTTTTACTAAATTGTGCGCACAATATAGTAATTCGTTCCTTAGTTTTACGAAATTGTGCACACAATATAATAATTCGTTCCTTAGTTTTACGAAATTGTGTGCAGAATATAATAATTCGTTCCCTAGTTTTACGAAATCGTGCGCACAATATAATAATTCGTTCCTTAGTTTTTCGAAATCGTGCACACAATATAATAATTCGTTTCTTAGTTTTACGAAATCATGCTCACAATATAATTCGTTCCTTAGTTTTACGAAATCGTGCGCACAATATAGTAATTCGTTCCTTAGTTTTACGAAATCGTGCGCACAATATAATAATTTGTTCCTTAGTTTTACGAAATCATGTGCACAATATAGTAATTCGTTCCTTAGTTTTACGAAATCGTGAGCACACTATAATAATTTGTTCCTTAGTTTTACGAAATTGTGCGCACAATATAATAATTCGTTCCTTAGTTTTACGAAATCATGTGCACAATATAGTAATTCGTTCCTTAGTTTTACGAAATCGTGAGCACACTATAATAATTTGTTCCTTAGTTTTACGAAATTGTGCGCACAATATAATAATTCGTTCCTTAGTTTTTACGAAATCATGTGCACAATATAGTAATTCGTTCCTTAGTTTTACGAAATCGTGCGCACACTATAATAATTTGTTCCTTAGTTTTACGAAATCGTGCGCACAATATAATAATTGTTCCTTAGTTTTACGAAATCATGTGCACAATATAGTAATTCGTTCCTTAGTTTTACGAAATCGTGCGCACAATATAATAATTTGTTCCTTAGTTTTACGAAATTGTGCGCACAATATAATAATTCGTTCCTTAGTTTTACGAAATCATGTGCACAATATAGTAATTCGTTCCTTAGTTTTACGAAATCGTGCGCACACTATAATAATTTGTTCCTTAGTTTTACGAAATCATGCACACAATATAATTCCTTCCTTAGTTTTACAAAATCGTGTGCACAATATAGTAATTCGTTCCTTAGTTTTACGAAATCGTGCGTACAATATAATAATTCGTTCCTTAGTTTTACGAAATCGTGCGCACAATATAATAATTCGTTCCTTAGTTTTACGAAATCGTGCGCACAATATAATAATTCGTTCCTTAGTTTTACGAAATCGTGCGCACAATATAATAATTCGTTCCTTAGTTTTACGAAATCATGCACACAATATAATTCCTTCCTTAGTTTTACGAAATCGTGTGCACAATATAATAATTCGTTCCTTAGTTTTACGAAATCGTGCGCACAATATAATAATTCGTTCCTTAGTTTTACGAAATCGTGCGCACAATATAATAATTCGTTCCTTAGTTTTACGAAATCGTGCGCACAATATAATAATTCGTTCCTTAGTTTTACGAAATCGTGCGCACAATATAATAATTCGTTCCTTAGTTTTACGAAATCGTGTGCACAATATAATGATTCGTTCCCTAGTTTTACGAAATCATGTACACAATATAATTCCTTCCTTAGTTTTATGAAATCGTCCACACAATATAATAATTTGTTCCTTAGTTTTACGATATTGTGTGCACAATATAATTCTTTCCATCGGTTTATGAAATTGTGCGCACAATATAATAATTCGTTCCCTCGTTTTACCAAATTTTGCACATAATATAATAATTCGTTCCTTAGTTTTACGAAATCTTGCGCACAATATAATAATTCCTTCCTTAGTTTTACGAAATCGTACGCACAATAATTCGTTCCCTAGTTTTACGAAATAGTGCGCACAATATAATAATTAGTTCCCTAGTTTTACGAAATAGTGCGCACAATATAATAATTCGTTCCCTAGTTTTACAAAATCGTGTGCACAATATAATAATTCGTTCCCTAGTTTTACGAAATCGTGCGCACAATAATTCGTTCCCTAGTTTTACAAAATCGTGTGCGCAATATGATATTTCTTCCCTAATTTCCCTAAATCGTGCGCACAATATAATTTGTTCCCTAGTTTTAAGAAATCACGAACATGATATTATTCGTTCCCATTCATTAATAATCAAAAGTGACATTAAAGACATTTATAATGTTACAAAAGATTCAGTTTTCCAATGCATCATGGTTTCCACAAAAATATGCAGCAGCACAACTAACTATTTTCAACATTTAGAAATATTTCTGGAGGATCATGTAAAAAAAATCAGCTTTGATCACAGGAATAAATTACACTTTGCTATATATTCACATAGAAAACAACTATTTTAAATTGTAATAATATTTCACATTATTACCATTTTTATTGTATTTTTGCTCAAATAAATGCAGCCTTGGTGAGTAGAAGAGATTCCAAAAGAGATATAATATTGTAAACTCAAACTCTCATATAATGTGTGTGACTGCTGAACTCTCACCTCTCTCAGCGAAACAACTCCAATAAGTCGTCCGATACTGGTGACGTAAGCGTGATCCAGACCCAACAGAGAGAAGATGGTGTGAGTCTGCCAGAGACAAAGAGGTTCAGCAATGAAACATGATTTTTTTTTAAAATTTTGGTCTTTTAAAATAAATGAGTTTAATATCCTCTAAACCACAGGGATGCAACCCAAACACCTTTAGCTCTTATAATCAAAGGCACTTTTAGTACAGAAATCATTCACTATATTTGATGCACCACACTCTTAGAAAAAATGGTTCTGTTTAGAACCAGAAATGGTTCCATCCCCCGCTTCATATATGGAACTCCAAAATAGAACCATTTTTTTGGTAAAAGGTTCTATTGGCCATGTATGGAATATATAGAACCCAGAGGAACCCTTTTTTTAAGAGTGTATAGAACCTTTTAGGGGTTCCAAATGCGTAGCGCTGATAGAACCTTTTAAGGTTCTATATAGAACCTTTTCTTCTAAGAGTGCAGTTATTTTTTTTAAAGCAAATGTGTCTTTTTGTTCACACAATTAGACCAAAGAGCACTCTTGTCTCGAATGCAGCAGAAAGAAATATCAATCTCAAATATCATTAAGGATATTGAACTTGCATTCCTGTAAAGAAATCAATACGCCATTAACAATATTAAGTGATGAATTTATATTGTGCATTTTATACTGTATGTAATCATAACATGAAGTTAAAATGTTATCTGAAATGTGTCACTTAAAAGCAAATAGCTTAGCACAGAATGTGTATGATTAATACTTTGCTTGGTTAATGGTCAAAGAATTGGAATATATATATATATATATATATATATATATTTCCTGCATTTCACCACTGCTCTGGCTTATTTCCTATTCTAGCTTTCTAATAATCCTGGCATTATATACTGTGAATAATAACACTGTAATAAACAGCTTCAGATAAAAGCGTGAATAGATGTTAATGTAAATGAGCATAAAGTAGGTCATGTGACTGGACAGACTGGGAAGTATGTTACCTGGAAACTTTTTTCTACAGATTTTTGCAATGCACAGCTAATTTGCATGTTTAAAATTAAAATTCATTTAATTTTAATTTAATTACAAAAACTTAGCAAATAATAGAAAGTAAAACAGTATATAAAAAAAGTTTATATGTAAATGCATGCTAGTGTTTTCATGAAGAATTACATTGTGAAAAATTAAATTGCAAGTGGAGAGCATTAAATTTACAGGAAAACTTACTAAATTCTGAGCACAGAATTAAGTTTCCCTCTTGAAATGTTACTCAAAGTGTCATGCACCATGCACACAAACCATGAGAATTCGAATATCAAGCAATAAAATGCACACAAAACATAAAACTAATGCACACAAATCTAAAGTTTACTGGAAAACGTACTAAATTTGTGGATCAAATTCTAATTGAATAAGTTTTCGAAATGTTACTTAGTGTAAACTCTGTAATATTTAAAATGTGTTTCATATTTGAGTTTACATGTTTTGTGAGCATGAAGTAGCAACATTTCATGTGGTAAACTTACTAAATTTATTAACGAATTCACATGTTTTGTGTGCATTTGAGGATTCAAATATGAAGCCCGGTACATGCCACTATGGGTATAATATAATATAAAATACATCTCAAAGTGCATGTGTGTAAATGGAGAGAGATAAAGGAGAGTGTGTATGCAAGTGTGGAAATGTGTAGGTGTATATACAAGAATGAATGGACGACATTAAGTACATTTACCGCTGCCGGCAGGAGAGAATGATGCATCTGTGTGTGTGTGTGTGGACCACTGCAGAGCGAGTCTTAATAAACACTTCTCTGCTCTTGCCACAAGTGAGTTTGCAAAAGCAGACGATAAATCCAGTGTTAGCATGTGTTTGTGAGCAAAATACTTTATTAAAAACGTCGTCTTGTATTCATGTAGATCCTGAACGTGTACACACACACACACAAAAACGCGTGCACAGACACACATACACACACACACACACCTTGTGCAGTGAAGTGCGTTCCACCAGCTGGAAGGGGGCGGGGTCAATCTTGCAGTTGTTGAAGTTCACCTGCTCGTCAAGCTGTTGCTCCTCCCACTCCTCAATCTGCATTCAGAAACACACAGATTTTACTTGCTTTTATTTTTTGCATTCTCCATTTTATATTTCCAGTAGAACTTTACATTAAGGCTTCATTTTTAAACATTAGTTAATGCAATGACAAATAATGAACAATATATTTTGCAGCACTTCTTAACCTTGTTAATGGTAGTTCATAAAAAAGTTAAATGTTTATGTTTTGAACTTTTGATCTTAAAAATGTATTATTAAATACTGGGATAAAAAAAATACTAAGTTTTATACTAAGTATTAGTACTAATACTAAGTTGCTCTGAACTATTTTAATTTTTCTCATTGTTTATATAGAAACATGTAGTGAAAAATAATAAATTAACTAAAAATAATTAACACTAGTTAATGGTTAATAAGCCCGTCTAGCAGTCAGGTATCATAATAATTATCATACACTTCATTTGAAAACTGAATCTACAGATTCTGTATGTTTACATGCACTTATTTTCATCCAATCCGATTTCAGTTTTGTTTGTACCTCAAACCCAAACTTTGCAATCAGATTCACATATTGGTTTACATGCATTTCAAGCAAAAGTTGTTGCGTTAAGAATGGAGGAAAGCGATAAAGATAACATCGCCAGAGCCACTGTTAGAATAAGTGTTGTTTTGTCCTTGATGACATCATTTTATGAACATTCAAGCATTGACATATCTAAAAAAGTAAGCTGGCAAATATGTCAAAAGAGCTTTTTTAAAGCACATATGTAGTAATTATTCAAATACATAGAACATTCTCACGTTCGCAAGTAGTAAACCGTATATACACAGAGATCTTACAGAAGGGTGAACATACGCATCACGGCTCTTCATGTGTGCAAGGTATTGAGTATTGAACCCGATTGAGAAGATTCACGCGTTTACATGCTTAGTTTAGTGAGTATTTCAGATCTGCACCATCCTTTCTAATCTGATGTGGATCTGATCGATGGAGGTGTTAGTCAGATCCAGCCATCAGACCAGCTACTCGTGGATCGTTCGGGTGCATGTAAACCTTGCTATAGGTATTCAGCGGTCTGTGTGTTGAAATGTCCTCACCTCTCGAAGAGTCATGTCATCGTCTGCATCCGGATCCTCCTGAAGAGAAACACACAAACATGATTACCTGTATTACTCAGGACATTGCATAGACGTCCATTGACTTTATATCAGGTTGCTGATATTTTCTATGGCCTAAACAAACACATCACATAAATGTGCAAAATACTAGATTCAAATAAAGACTCACTCACTCACTCAATCACTCACTCCAAACACTCACTCACTCACTCACTCATTCACTCACTCACTCACTCACTCACTCCAAACACTCACTCACTCACTCACTCATTCACTCACTCACTCACTCACTCACTCCAAACACTCACTCACTCACTCACTCAGTCACTCCAAACACTCACTCAACTCACTCCAAACACTCACACGCTCACTCAATCACTCACTCACTCCAAACACTCACTCACTCACTCACTCACTCCAAACACTCAATCACTCACTCACTCACTCCAATCACTCACTCAACTCACTCCAAACACTCACTCACTCACTCAATCACTCACTCACTCACTCCAAACACTCACTCACTCACTCACTCACTCACTCAATCACTCACTCACTCCAAACACTCACACACTCACTCACTCACTCACTCACTCACTCACTCTCTCCAAACACTCACTCACTCACTCACTCCAAACACTCACTCACTCACTCAATCACTCACTCCAAACACTCACACACTCACTCACTTACTCACTCAATCACTCACTCACTCACTCAGTCACTCCAAACACTCACACACTCACTCACTCACTCACTCCAAACACTCACTCAACTCACTCCAAACACTCACACGCTCACTCAATCACTCACTCACTCCAAACACTCAATCACTCACTCACTCACTCCAATCACTCACTCAACTCACTCCAAACACTCACTCACTCACTCAATCACTCACTCACTCACTCCAAACACTCACTCACTCACTCACTCAATCACTCACTCACTCCAAACACTCACACACTCACTCACTCACTCACTCACTCACTCACTCACTCTCTCCAAACACTCACTCACTCACTCACTCCAATCACTCACTCAATCACTCACTCACTCCAAACACTCACTCACTCACTCAATCACTCACTCACTCACTCACTCACTCACTCCAAACACTCAATCACTCACTCACTCACTCACTCACTCCACTCACTCCAAACACTCACTCACTCACTCATTCACTAACTCAATCACTCACTCACTCACTCACTCACTCACTCACTCCAATCACTCACTCACTCACTCACTCACTCCAAACACTCAATCACTCACTCACTCAGTCAATCACTCACTCACTCCAACACTCACTCAATCACTCAATCACTCACTCACTCACTCACTCACTCCAAACACTCAATCACTCACTCACTCACTCACTCCAAACACTCAATCACTCAATCACTCACTCACTCACTCACTTTAAACACTCAATCACTCACTCACTCACTCACTCACTCCAATCACTCACTCAACTCACTCCAAACACTCACTCACTCACTCAATCACTCACTCACTCACTCACTCACTCACTCCAATCACTCACTCACTCACTCACTCACTCACTCCAAACACTCCAAACACTCACTCACTCCAAACACTCACTCACTCCAAACACTCACTCCAAACACTCACTCACTCACTCCAAACACTCACTCACTCCAAACACTCACTCACTCCAAACACTCACTCCAAACACTCACTCACTCACTCCAAACACTCTCTCACTCACTCACTCCAAACACTCACTCCAAACACTCTCTCACTCACTCACTCCAAACACTCTCTCACTCACTCACTCCAAACACTCACTCACTCACTCACTCCAAACACTCTCTCACTCACTCACTCCAAACACTCTCTCACTCACTCACTCCAAACACTCACTCCAAACACTCACTCACTCACTCCAAACACTCACTCCAAACACTCTCTCACTCACTCACTCCAAACACTCACTCCAAACACTCACTCCAAACACTCTCTCACTCACTCACTCCAAACACTCTCTCACTCACTCACTCCAAACACTCACTCACTCACTCCAAACACTCTCTCACTCACTCACTCACTCCAAACACTCTCTCACTCACTCACTCCAAACACTCTCTCACTCACTCACTCCAAACACTCTCTCACTCACTCACTCCAAACACTCACTCCAAACACTCACTCACTCACTCCAAACACTCACTCCAAACACTCTCTCACTCACTCACTCCAAACACTCTCTCACTCACTCACTCCAAACACTCACTCACTCACTCCAAACACTCTCTCACTCACTCACTCACTCCAAACACTCTCTCACTCACTCACTCCAAACACTCTCTCACTCACTCACTCCAAACACTCTCTCACTCACTCACTCCAAACACTCACTCCAAACACTCACTCACTCACTCCAAACACTCACTCCAAACACTCACTCACTCACTCCAAACACTCACTCACTCACTCACTCCAAACACTCACTCCAAACACTCACTCACTCACTCCAAACACTCACTCACTCACTCACTCCAAACACTCACTCCAAACACTCTCTCACTCACTCACTCCAAACACTCACTCACTCACTCCAAACACTCACTCCAAACACTCTCTCACTCACTCACTCCAAACACTCACTCACTCACTCCAAACACTCACTCCAAACACTCTCTCACTCACTCACTCCAAACACTCACTCACTCACTCCAAACACTCTCTCACTCACTCCATACACTCACTCACTCACTCAAAATGTTTTGGTTGATTTTTAAGACATTAACTGAAGAGGACCAGTGAAACATCCTCACAACTCAGTTCTCATAATATTTCACAATATAAGTGAGGATTTTTGGCCATCGCAAGTTTAGACAAACCTGTACACACACACTCACAGAGTAAAAAACACAACATCCCTGAATCAAAAACCCTCTCCATCCAGAAACTTACAGGCTTAAAAACAATGCTTTGCATTAATCTGTATATTTCTATAGAGCACTATAGAAATAAAGCTGACCAATTGTGAAAATTACTAGCACGTTTTTGAGTAAAGCTTTTTCAGAGCATTCAGAGTTTAGTATATGGTTGCGTAATGACGATCTGTAATGCTAATATGTCGTGTCACCGTAAACACACACATCTGATCAATCGCTCCGAGCGTCGACAGACTTCAGTTCCTCTTCGACACTACAGTTAATCGATGAGGTCATCCTGCAGCTGCACTTCTCCACGGAAACCAACTACATTACACACACGCATATTGGGGAATAAATCTTTTGCAGCACACTCTACGCATTAATAAAACATCCATCCATTAGCACTGGTTTCTGTAGAAATGTGAGCCTAATCTAATGATCAGTGCGAAGGCCTGCGGGTCGAGATCATTCTCTCGCTCACACACACACGGACCAGTAAAGCCATTTACTGCACGACTACCTGAGAAAGAGTGTAATTATATGCGTCTGATGGATGTGGAGGTCTATCGTGAGGGTTTGTGGCCAGCAGATGTATTTAAAAATTGTGCACAAACTACTAGAACACACATATTTCAGTTATTTTTGAGAACCGTTTCCATTGGCGTCACAGAAGCTACAGGTTTATCATTATGTAGCCGTTATGGTGTGTTCATATCATGCTGCTAAGTACGCAAGAGTATTTCCATAGCAACATGTGTGACATCACCACTGACATATTAGTTGAGCTTTCAGAAATGTATTTGGTTTACAGAAGATGTGGGTCATTCATTCAATAACTGCAGCGACAGACGCTCTAAATCAACATCATTCCACACAAATCTAGATAACTCACAATAGCAATATGCAGTAGTACTCAATAAGCATGTGCCTTTACAGTTTCTATTGATCTTTGTTAAGGTTAGTTGAAAAAAATGCAACTGTTTTTAATAATGTATTATTAACTGTTGAAATTAACATTAATTCCACTTAACAAATCCTGTATAACAATTTTTTTATTATTGGTTAATTTTAACTAGGGATGCACGATATATCGGCCACAATATTGGTACGGGCCGATATGTTCATTTTTAATATTATCGGTATCGGTACGAAAAGAAAATTTGGCCGATATCTTAAAGCCGACAAATAATGTATTGGAAATGGTGACAATTCAGATGCACACTGTTCTGGGTTTAAATAGTTTGGAATCACTTCAAAAAGAAAAATACAGTCATATCGGATAGTTAAAATTATAACGAGAACATCATTATAATTGCGTGGATTGAACATGGCTTTTAATGGCGAGACTTTAGCTTTTGTAATCAGTCTTGCAAAAATCATATAAAAATTTGGATTTAGATTTATCGGCCAAAATATCAGTTATCGGCTTTTAAATATAAAGAATTATCGGTTATCGTTATCGGCGCATGGAACCCTTATGTTAAAGTTTTACCGAAATCGATTAAAACATAACTTGAAAATAAGTTTTAGTAAAATAGAATTTAAATATCATATTATAACTTATTTTTTAAGTTTAACCCTCTGGTGTGTCTGTTAAAAATAACAGATTTTTTTTTTCAATGAAATGATTGTATTTAGTTATATTTTTATTTAATATTTTTAGGGGATTTTATGGTACTAAATAATATTTAAGCAGTAGGTATAATCCATTAATTCACTTTTTGAGTGAACTTTGAATTTAAATGGTCATAAATCTTTAAATCTTCCCTTAATTTTTGTCTCTTTTAACGACGACACTTGGCAGATTATTTGCTAAAGTTTTTAAAAAAAAGTTATATAATTTATGAAAAATGCACAAAAATACTATTTACAATTTTTATACGAAATATATATTTTCAAAACAGGTTTTACTCTAAAACTGGGAGAAAATCTAAACAAGCTGTTTTCCGCATGTGAGTCTGATATCTCAGTAAATGAGTGTTCGGCTGCAGTACCGAACGCTTCCACTGGAGGAAACTCGACTCACATTCGTTTATAATGCGTCATTCCTGACCGCGAGGAGCACAAGTGTGACTATTTATTACAGGACCATTTAACCTTTTCGAATCATGTCCATGATTTTTGTGTGCGTGTTCACACAGCAACTGCCAAAACCTTTATCAAGTTTCGTACAATTTCAATAGAGTAAAAAATTCTACAAAAATACATTTTCCGGTTAAAAACGAGACGAGAGATAAACGTTAGGTTTAAGTTATTTATGTTTTCATAAATAGATTTAAAAACGTTACGCTATTGTAAACATTACTGTTTTTACAATTAATATAATATTTAGCTATTCAATTCTAATTTCTACTTTTAAAAAAAACCCATTGACTTTCATTGCATGGACAAAAAAAAAACAACAGATTCAGGTTTGGAACGACATGAGGAGTAAATGATGACAGAATGATCATTTTTAGGTGAAAATACTACAATCTAAACTCTACAATAGTAATGAGCTCTATATGGCAAGTCTTTCCTTCATTGGCTCCACCCACTTTTTATGCAACTCACACTGATTGGGCAGTTGTGATGTCATGCTGATGATTGACAGATACGCTTGGTCATCCCCCTTGTCCCTGCTGGTGTCCTCCAGATGACACTGATTAGTGATTAATTACACTGACCTTTGACCTCTGCTCCAGTGTAGACCATTTAAAACCACAAAACTGCTGTGTTAATAATCATAGTACAACAAAAAATAATAACATCTCAGAATCTTGGCAAGAACAGCTGTTACTCTAAGTTCTAGTAAATATGTATTTGCGTATCAGGTCAAAGGTCAGGAGCAGGAACGAGGGAGGCGTTTATGAGAACATGATGACAAAGGATGACGCGGCGATTTGACGAGCCAGTGTTTTATCATGGCTCTTACCAGGACCGAAATCCTCACGCGTTTGTGCGGCCGGGAGTCAGGAGAACCTGTGAGCTCCACGTTATTATTCTTACAGGAGGAAAAGAAATAGCAACACACACACACACACACAGAACACGATTACCCTCATATTACACACAATAATGAGTAAAACATCACAGCAACGGCTCGCAACTACAGAGATGAGATTTACCTGTAGCAGGATGTGTGTGTGTGTGTGTGTGTGTGTGTGTGTGTCTCACCTCCATCACATCTGTCTGAGGTCGAACACACAGCAGATTCTTTAAGCCCATGCCAGATTCATGAGGACCTGACGAACACAGAGAAAACACAATACACCACTAATTAATGCACAATTATTTCAAGTTTCCACTCAATATTACAAGGTCTCTTCACTCTTGGCAATTTATTATCAAATGTGTATATCTCAACTCTTTTTTTTTTTTATGAAACGTATCCATTTTCAAGTGTAAATAAAAAATAATGCAATTTATTTTTTGTTTAAAAGCACAAGGATATATTGTACGTCAACAACAAAATATATAATAACCATGAAAGTTTTGTGAAAATCATCAAAAATGCAAGAGGTGGAGTTAATTACCCCATAAAGCTTTTCTAATTAGTTTTATATTAATCAACATGAGATCAAAACTGACCTTATTGACTTTAGCAATGAATGTTCCTGGTGTTAAAAATCATAATCTTTTTTTATCATAATCTAAAAGTTTTTTTACATTTATGCTGACATAACCAATGCTGCAAATCATAATACTAAAACATATCAACCAGTAATAAATGACGCCCATTTTTCAAAATCCAATAAATTAAATAATGATAGCTACAAAGTTTTCACTGAACTCCATTTTAACATTTGTTTTTTACTTAAATATACATTATTTTACAAGAGTTCGACGTCTGGAGTGGATATTTGTTTTTAACGACAGTGCAAGATCCATTAAAGCTGCAGTGTGTAATTTATTAAACAAAAGAAGAAATAGATTACTCTGGGAATATTACTACTGTACTGTGAAATAACAATTGAGTAAAATAACGTGTATATTTGTAAAAATTTGAATACTAATATTTATGTGATGTCATCGAGAGAGCAGAGAGTAGTCAGTTAAGCAATGAGCTTAGAAATTAGGTTTACTTAATTATTCAGTAATGTGATGAATACACTTTTATGATGAATAGATGCACTTTTATGATGGACAGATGTTCTTTTATGATGGACAGATGCACTTTTATGATGGACAGATGCACTTTTATGATGGACAGATGCACTTTTATGATGAACAGATGTTCTTTTATGATGGACAGATGCACTTTTATGATGGACAGATGTTCTTTTATGATGGACAGATGCACTTTTATGATGGACAGATGCACTTTTATGATGGACAGATGCACTTTTATGATGAACAGATGTTCTTTTATGATGGACAGATGCACTTTTATGATGGACAGATGCACTTTTATGATGGACAGATGTTCTTTTATGATGGATAGATTCACTTTTATGATGGACAGATGTTCTTTTATGATGGATAGATGCACTTTTATGATGGAGAGATGTACTTTTATGATGGACAGATGCACTTTTATGATGGACAGATGTACTTTTATGATGGACAGATGTTCTTTTATGATGGACAGATGCACTTTTATGATGGACAGATGTTCTTTTATGATGGATAGATTCACTTTTATGATGGACAGATGTTCTTTTATGATGGAAAGATGCACTTTTATGATGGATAGATTCACTTTTATGATGGATAGATGCACTTTTATGATGGACAGATGTTCTTTTATGATGATAGATGCACTTTTATGATGGATAGATGCACTTTTATGATGGACATATGCACTTTTATGATGGATAGATGCACTTTTATGATGGACAGATGCACTTTTATGATGGACAGATGTACTTTTATGATGGACAGATGTTCTTTTATGATGGACAGATGCACTTTTATGATGGACAGATGTTCTTTTATGATGGATAGATGCACTTTTATGATGGACAGATGTACTTTTATGATGGACAGATGTACTTTTATGATGGATAGATGCACTTTTATGATGGAAAGATGCACTTTTATGATGGACAGATGTACTTTTATGATGGACAGATGTTCTTTTATGATGGATAGATTCACTTTTATGATGGACAGATGTTCTTTTATGATGGATAGATTCACTTTTATGATGGACAGATGTTCTTTTATGATGGATAGATGCACTTTTATGATGGACAGATGTTCTTTTATGATGGACAGATGCACTTTTATGATGGACAGATGCACTTTTATGATGGATAGATTCACTTTTATGATGGACAGATGTTCTTTTATGATGGACAGATGTACTTTTATGATGGACAGATGTTCTTTTATGATGAACAGATGCACTTTTATGATGGATAGATGCACTTTTATGATGGACAGATGCACTTTTATGATGGACAGATGCACTTTTATGATGAACAGATGTTCTTTTATGATGGACAGATGCACTTTTATGATGGATAGATGCACTTTTATGATGGACAGATGCACTTTTATGATGGACAGATGCACTTTTATGATGAACAGATGTTCTTTTATGATGGACAGATGCTCTTTTATGATGGATAGATTCACTTTTATGATGAACAGATGTTCTTTTATGATGGACAGATGCACTTTTATGATGGACAGATGCTCTTTTATGATGGATAGATTCACTTTTATGATGGACAGATGTACTTTTATGATGGACAAGATGCACTTTTATGATGAACAGATGTTCTTTTATGATGAACAGATGTTCTTTTATGATGAACAGATGTTCTTTTATGATGAACAGATGTTCTTTTATGATGGATAGATGCACTTTTATGATGGACAGATGTACTTTTATGATGGACAGATGCACTTTTATGATGAACAGATGTTCTTTTATGATGAACAGATGTTCTTTTATGATGGATAGATTCACTTTATGATGGACAGATGTTCTTTTATGATGGATAGATGCACTTTTATGATGGACAGATGTACTTTTATGATGGACAGATGCACTTTTATGATGGACAGACGTACTTTTATGATGGACAGATGCACTTTTATGATGGATAGATTCACTTTTATGATGGACAGATGTTCTTTTATGATGAACAGATGTTTTTTATGATGGACAGATGCCTTTTATGATGGACAGATGTTCTTTTATGATGAACAGATGTCTTTTATGATGGACAGATGTTCTTTTATGATGGACAGATGTACTTTTATGATGGACAGATGTTCTTTTATGATGAACAGATGTTCTTTTATGATGGACAGATGCACTTTTATGATGGATAGATGCACTTTT